ACGTACAAAAGCAACGTGAGATTAAACCGTAAAAGTGTTTTCGCTGAACAATGATAATGTTAACGTTTAATCTAAATCCGTAAATGTATTCGGGATAATTATGGGAAATTTCTTTACAAATAACAATCACGACAAAAGCACACATAATAACATCTAACCATACAAAACTAAGCCGTGAACGTATAATAAGATAAATTGAATCATGTGACATACAAAATGTGGTATGGCAAATGTTTACACAAAACTGAATGCAAAAGAATAATTTGATTACTAACACTACTACATTTAAAATATCAAAGATAAATGAAAAGCAAAATTATTTTCTTTAAGCTTTGCTAATAAAGTATTCAATAATGCAAAAAATAAAAATTAATATCATAATAAAAATACTAAAACAGATCTAGATGCAACATAAATTATAACGAACAACAACAACAACATTGTAATTTCTCCTATTTTCGAGAGCTTTAGACATATTTTAAGCCATTTTTCCGGTTCTACAACCTTTGGGTTTTTATTGTTATTATTGTCTTTTTATTGTATTTACGACGTTTCGAATATTTTACAATTTTCGTCGTCCAATTTACGGGCTACATTCTATTTTTAGGCTTTGGAAACGGGGATAAGCGTGACGCGGTACTTCATGCGTTCCTAGGGACTATGAAGTTGTTTACGTCTGAGTTACGTCTATTTGAACGCACCACTAACGAAGACTTATAATAAAACGAACATTTAAACTGCGTTACACAAATTAAGATACTCTATGCATATCATTATGCTAGTTTTACACGTGTTCAGCTACTTTCTGTTCAATTTTAAAACTGATTTTAGTTCATTTACTGTTTTTATTAAAGTAGATGCGTAAATGTGAGTAGACAGCCTATTTGTTGTATAGCAGCTGCTGCAGCTGCTGGTGTTAAGTAACTGAACTCTTAGACGTATTGAATGCGCCCGTCTTGGGTGATAAGGTCAAAGTTTGAATTGAACACTACCCTAAGCTTCAAGCCACAAACACATGATTGTATTGAGTAAGTAATCCACAGGACTTCAGAATAAATCTGTGGGTAGATATAAAAAAAAACAAAAAAAAATAGCCTAGGTCCAGAATTACCGGAAGGGGAACCCTGTGCACAGTCTAGTTATAAACGCTTTATTGAGGAGACAAAAACGAACAATAATAATACATCTGACAATGTATTACGACACGATACTTACTCAAAGGTAATATTACATCTGAATTGGGAACCTGTCATTTTCATATGAATATTCATTTTTTTTGCTTTTCGTGCCATTCATTAAATATTCCTGTGATATTAAAATTGAGGGATGATAAAGAGAACAGAGTTGCTAAGACAGTAATAGCTAGTATACTCGTACTACAGAACCAAATGTAAATTTTAAACTCACAATCCGCTTGGTGTTTGTCGAATGTACTGGGCTATTGATAGATATTATGAAAGATCCTCTGTTTGTGACAGTAAAAGTTTTAGCCGTGCACGTAATATTCGTAATTTAGTAGGCGATTAAGTCCGAGATCCAGTCCAAGATCAGTGGAGGAAAGAATATTAATAATTAGTACTTACAGCTAGTAAGAATCGCACTGGTCCTTACTTAACACGTAATTTAAAAATTAATGGGTTGGTCAAATCAAAACCAATTAAAGCAGAACGACTGGGTTTATTCTCAAAACTCTATAGAAGCTCTACACAATGTGGAAATTGTCCGGCTATAGTGCTGGTTTTAGGGCTGTCAGCTATTAAGAAGCGACTGAGTCATATTTTACAAAAAAAGTTTAAAATATCGGCCCAGACCCTGTTCTGGAGAGACGATTCTTGAGAAAATGTTTAAGCTATTAAGCTATTTAAAAACGACATATTCGTTAACCAAATATGGTATTTTCAGCAATACTCAGGAGCATCGGGTCAAAGCTTGATCCACATAAGCTTAGCTACAAGGCAAGTGACAGGAGCTGTAGAATGGCCGTCGTACCTATATTGTACTGTACTTTTATATCTTGTAGTGAATATGGCACGCTCTAAGCGGCACAATGATTTGGCGTCTTTAAAACATTCCATAAAATTGTCGGTCGCCAATTTCCCCATGGATAAAAAGTTTATTTCAATCGATCACTAGCCAAAAAAGATTTTAAGGCTAACACAGTAAACATTTTTGAAACAAACATTATTTAATAAACAGGCGTATTACATAAATGTAGCTATTTCAAATTGTAATCGTGTATATTTTATTTAAATAAAATAAACGCTTGGGGAATTATATTCAATGTTCGTAATGTTGATTTTTGAAGCAAAATTTAAAACGTTACGACAAATCATTCTATATTTAGCATTGATCATTTCATCATGAGATGTGTGAACATATAATTGGAGAGAACGTGTCACCGTACGCTATTTATACCTTTACACAAATAATTTGTCCATTAAACATTACAATATTTTATGCATGCAGGCGTCACGTATGCTATTGACTTACCAAAAATAATTTGAGCAAATAAACTTTAGCTATTTTTAAACGTCTGGTTTTGGATATTCCTTCATGATTTAATGTTTGTATTTATCATGTTTGTATTTATTAGGGAACAATAACGACATATGCTGACACGCTTCCCAGGATAATACTGATTAGAACTGAATTAGAACGTAGATATAAACGCAATGTTAATATTTGTGAAGTTTGTAAATAATATTAAGTTTATTTCTACTCTCTAATGTCATCAAAAAAGTTGTTACCGGTTGTTAATTATAAGTATTAGGGTTCCGGCCAGTTCAATACCACTGTTCAGGAAATGTCTTCCACGAAGCAATTTTATAGTTCAGTTCAGTAAGTTAGCCATTATGCTAGCCATTATGCCTAAAGCAAGAATTGTATCCCAAAGTTGACAGCAGCAGCTGTAGGAATATCTATTGGCTTCGAAAAATTTTCTGATCATCCACGCAAATAAAGAAAGTTGTGTAGCAACTCTGTCTCTATGAAATATAATCGATAGATAACTAATCAATAACAAATCATAAATAACCGGAACTTAATTAATGCTTTTAAATAAGAGCGATGTAAATAATGTCAAATAGGTTTTTTCCGATTTCCGCTATGTTCGATGTGTTCAAGAATTCTTGTAATTTATTACATCAATATTTTTATTTATTTATGTCTATTTCTTTTATAGGTGGTACTAAGCTTACTAAAACCTTATATCTGTAGCCCAACTGGAGACGTGATAACGAAATTTCATTGCATATAGCATTGGAACGATGTCATGCCAATTCATTCCAAACGGAATGCAAGAATGCTTCGCGGTAAAATATGTATGAACACAATACTTTTTTTTTTTTTTTTCTACAGGAGAAAATCGCCGGATCCCCACCCGCGCGGCAGGTATGTGGGACTTGAACCTCACTAAAAACTCCTGCCGCTCACAACCGGCGCCCTACCTCGGACCGGGCCGGAGCCCAGTCGGGGCTATTGAAACGGCGGGACAGGGTTGACGCAGAGCACATTACATCCATCCCACCGTCCCACGGACGCCGGACCGGTGGCCGCCAGCGAAACGACCACCGGTTCCCTCGTTCAGCGGGCCGAGAGCCCGCTTTGATGGNGCTCACAACCGGCGCCCTACCTCGGACCGGGCCGGAGCCCAGTCGGGGCTATTGAAACGGCGGGACAGGGTTGACGCAGAGCACATTACATCCATCCCACCGTCCCACGGACGCCGGACCGGTGGCCGCCAGCGAAACGACCACCGGTTCCCTCGTTCAGCGGGCCGAGAGCCCGCTTTGATGGCGCCGCGTTACACCTATGAACACAATACTTAGTACTGAGTGGTACGATTACAAAGTTAAAAATACAACATTTCATAATACGTAACAATAAACCTTAAACTTGCCAAAAATTCAATTATTCCAACAAGGCATTATTTTTTTACAGAGGTGAAATAATAAAAAATGGGCTATTGTAAAATACACAGTATTAAGTCTCGTTTGAAGAAATATGTGACGTATCTTGCCGGAAATGAAGGTAAAATGTGGCACAGAACCATTTGAGATGTCTATCGTTCGTAGTTTTAACAAGTACTAACACGTTGCACTATTATGGCTTTTTTATCTAATTATTATTGCGCGTTATGCGCGTACCGCAACTTAATATATTTTCTGGAGACGAAGGAATTAAAATAGTACTTTAAAAAAAGTTCATTTTTTGTGTTCTACCAATTGATAAATATGTAGATTCATAATAAGCAAACGTGGTTACAATACATTTAATTTATCGAACAGCTGCTAATTTTCAGTTAGCGCTTATTTAGATAAAAAATGATAACTTACATGTCTACTAATATATTTTATTTGCTGAACACGTGCTTAAAGTGGAAATATTACAATATTGGATGTATTCGATTAAAAAATCATGTTGGGTTCAATTGTATTATGTGAAATTTATCGTTTAGGCATATATGTAGATATTAACTGGCGTAGCAAACTAATAACCTCATATTTAGTTTCAAAATTATTTCTAAGTTAAGTTAAGTTTTAATATAAGGTTTCAATGGACTTTAACGTAATTGCCAATAGTAAGTAGCACACAGAAGTAAGAAGTTTATTCTGAGTGTAATTGACTAACATTTACGAGATTTTACTTTTGAGACCTATATATCTTTTAAGGTAAGTACAAAAAACCCTTGCTTAATAACCACTTTTTATAATGTTAAATTACAGATTTACATTGTACTTTAAACACATCAAGACGCCTACCTTTTTCGTTTCGTACTAAACTTGTTAAAATAATTACTTTAATGTACGCTATAAATTATATTAATTTTTTAACGCTCATTAACGGATCAATAAACTTCCTCTGTGGAATTGAACGTACCGGTCATCAAAACCCGTCTAGTGTTTTTTGCGTGAAATTTGAATAAATTAACATATTATTTCAGATGCTTCACTATTCGCCAGTGACCAGAGATAATTATGGTTATACAATTCGATACTTACATAACCTTCCGAAGCTCAAGGACAGGCGCTTTCGAAGCTTTTGCATTTTGCTCATAGCGCCGCCCCTTTTCTCTCTCATTGTCACGCCTGTAAACAAAAAAAAAACATAACATAAATATATTTAACTTAAAACATTAGATTGTCACATGATTGGTTTGGGCGACGATAAATAAACGACATTAAACAAAGTTCTTTTTTTTCTGTCAAAAAGGGGAATACAGGCTCAGGGTTCACCTGGTGTAGTGATTACCAGAGATCATAGACATGACAACGAGAATGACCTCTCAATTGAAATTTTTAACGGCAGTCCCACTCTTCAAGCGCATGACCGCTTCGCAGCAGAATTAAGCAAGCTGGTGGTGTATAATAATACTCATAGAACGTTGCTGCCCATAATCACGTGAATCCCATATTCACCTTTTACGAATACGGGAATAGATGAGATGGTTTCTGTAATATTATAGGCCAACACTACACAGTCAAGTGTCGCGTCGTTCTTCAGAATAGTTTCCGAAGTAACTTTATACATCCTCTAGGAACGCTAACGGTAATGAAAGATAAATAAACTTTTCGGTAACACTATACCACTATATTTTATAAATAATTAAACACGTATGTGACTGTTATTGAATTAGATGTTTTAATAAAATCAATCAGTGCCGGCATAATATACATACATTTAGCAGGGACTAACCAAACGTTCGTGAATCAATAAATTGAACTGATGAAACTCGAATACCACAATATCGATAAGCCTATAATTGGCGTTCGGCATAATTGTTTAGTTCACGATGAATTACACGCACACAATTAATGGATATATACCTATAATACGATTTCTTTGCAAAATTGGACGAATCAATTTCATTTAGATAAACAGTCGTCTTGGACCTTGACATTCCCGATGCTGCGGACCGAATGATAAACAGTCGACGTCGCCCACACGTCATTTCGGATCCTCCCGATCGACTAACGGTACTTTTAGGTACCCCAAGCACCGGTAATCGTTCTCGTCGAAACCGACGAAGGGCTCGGCGAGTAAATTAACCCATAGACACAGCACACNAATCAATTTCATTTAGATAAACAGTCGTCTTGGACCTTGACATTCCCGATGCTGCGGACCGAATGATAAACAGTCGACGTCGCCCACACGTCATTTCGGATCCTCCCGATCGACTAACGGTACTTTTAGGTACCCCAAGCACCGGTAATCGTTCTCGTCGAAACCGACGAAGGGCTCGGCGAGTAAATTAACCCATAGACACAGCACACTGCGTTTCTCGCCGGATCTTCTCAGTGGGACGCGTTTCCGATCCGGTGGTAGATTCTGCGAAGCACGGCTCTTACTAGGGTTCGTGTTAGCAACAACGTGAGGTTTGAGCCCCGTGAGCTCAGCTATCAGTTCGGTGAATCTAGAATAACCCTTCGAGGTTACTAGAATAGGTAGGAAAAATTAGACCTTGAAATTTTACTCTGTATTAAAAAACAATACTGATATTAATGATTTAGTCTAAAATTTTCCAAGGATATCCTCTTTTTTAGATTTAATACAATTATTTTGGGCAGCTATTTGTAGTCAAATACTATGAATAGTTATGAAAAGATTTTTAAGATGAAGAAATGTTCAAACGAGTTCACAGCCTATCTGGTGTTATGTGCATATCCGCCACCCATCTCAGAAGAAGCAGTCGAATTCACAATTATATCGCATAAAGACTGTCCTGCCCTTCGAAGCTGAACGCCGAATGGTTTCAAAGAAGAACTAGGCACGCAATACGCACTTTATCGCAATAAGAAGCTCTATCTAAAACAACATAGCCAATTTAAGGCGAAGTTATTAATAAGATATTTCAAAAGCAATATCGGCATAATTAAAACTCCTTTTACGGTTTGGTCTCGCATTTCTTACTGCCATTAACTTATTTCCGACGCTTCGAATACTTTTAAGTTTGCGTGGTCACAGACGATACATCGCGTTAAATATCTTATAATATGAAGAACATCACCAGGGAAGTATAAACATTACGGATGACAATTAATAACATATGTGTTATGAGCTCCGGTCACGCCATAGCTGTTAGTGTGACGTTACACTAAAACAGGCAAGTAATCGGTACGAGTTAACGTGTTCGTGTGTAAGAGAAAATTCCGCGATCTAATTAACTTGGAAAGTTTTCTAGAAGGCGCTATTGTAAGCTGACGCGGTGTAGAGAACCTATGCACACACGAGGCGGCATGACGGACCGTGACTGTGTGAATTATGTGGATATAAGGTGTAATAAATATTGTGTACTCAAATAATCACTTTACGTTACATACGTGATGGAATGATATCGATAGAAATAGTATCCCTTGAGTATTTAAGCTACAAAGGGACATTAAAATTTCTAAAATTAAAAACCGCATGAATTCATATTAGTTAACCTTAGTTTTATAAACAAACGTTAGTAGAGCGTTTCAGAATTATAGCTTGATAGTGGAACCTTTTTTTTATGATTGAAGAATTACTGGTGGCTTGGGGGCCTTTCCAGTTTCACTAGGACAGGTGGGCGAGCAAAGTATCAGCCAGGAGGGGTGGGATTTGCTAACAGAAGTGGATCTATACTAGCGTCGTAAAACATTAACTTTGATCACTATTGTGGCATCCGTAATACTTGACGATGCTGAATGATGTCATTGTGGAAATGTTCCTTGGAAAATATTCACCGGAAATTTATTCTTACCGGAATTAACCGTTGACATTTTCGACAGTAAACAATAAATGTTTACTCGGGAGTGGATATTATTATTACTAGTATGCACTTTTGATGTTGTTGCTAGTGTAGTAGATACTACCTTAACAAACAAAAAACCGAAGATCGGGTTCAGTGGCGAGCTTTGGGGGAGGCCTATGTCCAGCAGTGGACTGCCGCAGGCTGATGATGATGATGAAACAAAAAAAGTGCGCAACGTCAATTACAAAACATCAAAATTAAAAAGGTATGTAATATGTTTTCGCAATTCACAAATAAATGCAACCGAAGAATTTGAGCATCCGTCAAATCAATACGTAAAGTTTAATACACTAAGGAATTCAAATCTGGTTTGCTTCAGCGTTTTGGCTCCACTCCGAATGCAAAACGAGACAGACAGAAGTACGCAACTATTACCCGGACACGACTTGCATCGGCCTACATAAAGCAAGTTAACAATCTACACAAACCCACTTACGGCGGAGCACTTACTGAAATAGTTAAATTTTATCAACCAGTTAAATTAGCGAATTTATAGCTGCACTCAGCTTTTCAATTTATTGGAATAGTCAATGCGGTTTTACATCGATTCAGATTGAGTTTCACATTCCAAGAGTATTCATTTTATAAGTAGGAAAAGAGGAAATAACCTAGGATATAAGCCCGTTTACACAAGTGCGGAAATCTACCAGTCTTATTATCTAGAGCAGGACTTATTCTGTTGATTCAGATTCAAGGCGACGTTGTGTGTTTCTTAATACTATTATTATTACTTTTGAGTAAGGTTCAGTATTGGATGGCAAAATATTGCTGTTAATTCGGCTCCTAAAAAAACGCATGTCAACGGCCCTTCAGACTGTACAAACAAAACGATCATAGACAAACATTAAAGCTGTCATAGCAATCTAATCTGGAAACCAACGGGTAAAAACTTACATAACGTACGTAGTCAAAACTAAATTAAATTCTACTCGAAAATGCTTATAGCGTGCTCGATCTCACGCGATCAGATAATTTTATTTATATAAATTCTCACGGATAAATCGTATTTGTATAAAATGGCGTCACGACAGTAAATTTAATCAATTTCAATAATTTACTAATTGATAATTACAAATTTTATATCTTTCGTAAACAAACACGTTATCTAAGAATTAGGGTATCCACGGGAACTCTCAACGATCGTGTAATGCTTGTTTAAGGGTCATTCATGAACTTTACGAGTCATAAATCAAACGCAGCGAGTAATCGAGTTTAATGAAACATCCTGGTCGTGCATGAGCTAATATTCGAAACTAGAGATAACACCGGGACAGATGGTCGGAAACACAGAATCGTGTTTGCGGTCGTACACAAACATAATTGAAGAGATGAGTGGATGAAGGGGATATGATACAATTTGTTAATTTTGAGAAAACGGGCAACAAACTTTTTGTTAGTTGTACTTTTTCTTCGAACGCAACTCCTTCATCGCATGCAAGTTCTAAAAATAGCTTTTAAATGAGGAGTTTTAAGGTCTAATATGGTTTATAGGCACATAATACCTTCGTTAAATGTAAAAATCTTAAAAATGGTACCTAACCCCTTCATCCAATCATGTCTTCAATTGAATTTGCTAAAACGTTTTTTCCACCAGGCAATCATAATTAATCACGTTCGTATGGTATTTGCAGGAACATATTTAACCGGCTCCGTGTAAAACAACCCTAGAGCGAATAATTAATTTTATAAAACAGTTCCGCGTGCCGAGTGTGTCCATTGAACTCGTTCCCGACGCCCACGCCCTGACGTCCGCATTACAAAACGACAAATATCAGAAAATCAGAATAGCCAACGTTGATAATAAACCTGGATTCAGAGAAACTGACACAACATTTTGACGATATATTATATTACTGTGTGATTAACAGTCAAAGTTATATATAAGTATTTTATCGGCGACACTACTTTTCAGCTTAACCAAAAATAGATTCACTTTTGAACTAAATCGATACTAAGTATCACTGAACGCGTACACATAATCAAAATATCAACACAGTATAAAACGATAACACAAAAACAATATATAGTATTTACTAATAATATTGAACCGTGTGTATTAATTATTGTGAAACGTGTGGGAAATATTACAGAGATGTTTCATCAACATCTGTGGGAGTTTGACCTTAATTCTAAGAAATTTATATATCTCTACGACAATCGCGTATTAAACACGTCGAGTATGAGTTCTGACACGAAACGTCGTCGACAATTACTACGTGGGAGACGCGAAATACGCACCCACACGAAAACCTTGAATGTGACCAGCGTTTTTAATTTGACCTTGAATGTTTGACAGGAAATATAGGATAT